CCACTAGCTCTCACGCCATCGTTGCCGTTACATTAGAAGGAAAACAGCAACTAGAGAGAAAGTGATTTTTCGCCGATGGGGTTCAAGAAGTAAGTGCATACATGGACCGTTTCAGCCGAGTTGCGCACGCCAGTAGCTGCAGCAAGAGGTGAGAGCGTCATAAAACTCGTTTCAGACAGAAGTTTCCAATTTTCTATGATCCTATACCTTGGCTCACGAAAACGTCGCTGCGGTACGGGACCGGTACTAAATTGTTGAGAACTACGGCGGCTGGCGCAGCTAGACCTCGCTGAGGGCTAAATATTTCACCAACGACGGTTCTCTAACTAAAAACCACACCTAAGGGAATGATGAACAGAAAGAGACATAGACTACTACGCCAAACGTTTTATGGGTACTAATACAACGGAACAGAGTCGAATAACTTTGTCAGTTTCCGTATCACACGTTCGACATGTAGGTTGATCTCATTTGTAGTCAGTATTCGGCAGGTGATCGCTAGGCTTGCTCAAATAGCCCAGGTAGAGCACGTGCAAAGCGCTTTCGTGAATGATTGGTACAATGATACGTGATACGATTTATGCGCATAAATAAACATTATAAACAATATTTCTAAAGCGCGGTCAGTACGTAAGGATTACCGCTTTTAGTCGACTTCGGTTTAAAATGACAGAACATGTCGCAGACCACACGCCCTCCCTTCGCAGCGAAAAACTACGTGCGTTGACAAACAGACGTTTAATAGATAAAATCCTCGATGTGTCGTAGAAATTGTTTTTTATCGCCAATGAGGTAATTGGATTTTCCACGGTATACTTCCGTGTTTCTCGCCTTTTCACTTATCATAAAACGCACACAGGTTCTGGGCACAGCGTGACCCTGCGGATGATAAGAAAAAACAAGACTGATTATTTTTCTTCGTGCATTTCTGACGCCGCAGATTGTCATAGACGGTGAAGCATCATGTGCGTGAGATAAGGCACATGAACGGGCAATCCGTTCAGTCTGAAATCAAAGCCGGTGTTCTCCTGCACTAATATGTAGGATACAGCTCAATATTGAATTGGCTTTTGATTAAAACAGCATCGTATCACATGTTTTTATGCCACGAGGCATTCTGCAGTTCTCGGCGTGCACTACGAGCCTACGTAATGTTAGCGCTTCGTAATAACTGTAAGCAGAAGACCTCTGTGACTGATCATCGAAAACAGACATTGTATATGTCATTAGCACGCAAGCGGTTCTGTGTAGCCCGAAACCTTAAACAGAATCAAAAGCATCTCTAGCAGACGATTCCGGTTCAGGTGTATGCTAAACATCAGCACCACCAGCACCGCTCCTGCTTATCTATATCTTTCTAAACTGCAGTGACAAACGACAGCTTATCAAAAAACTTATGCAGTTCTTGGGTTATTGCTCTCTTTTCTCGCTCTCTATTGCTACTTTTCCCTTCGTTAGCCATTTTGTTCCATACGAACATCATCTCACGGCCCGCGTCGTCCTAAGGTACAGCTTGGTTGAGTTAAGAGCGCCTTGTCCTCGTAATCATGATGGAAACATATCTTTGCTGCCATTTTCCCCACTTCGTCTCCTCTTGTTCAGCGGTCAATGTTCGCCACTCTTTCCTTCAGCGTCGTTTTCCTTTGCGCCTACTACTATTTGCTTGGGACATTCCGTTCTTGGACCAGCCGAAGAAAACAGACAGACAGTTGCTTAACCCATTCTTGCGAATTCCACTAGAAATAGGTCCTAATAAGGTTGCCACTGACGGTGCCGGCGATTGAAATAGGACAGAGTCAAACAGCCTGTCTCTAAATAGCGATGAAGCTAATTCGTTCAATACTTAGACGGGGTCTCTTTCGCCGTTACCTTGTCATTAGGCTTATGTCATTGCAGAATAAAGTAGGCTCGCTTCTTAGTAGCTAACCCAGTCCTACCCAATGCAACAGGAGCCAATTTTCAAGCTTTCTGAAGCTCAGGCTTGAGTCCTTTTCTACATAGGACTGATATGCCGACCTCAGCTGATACACGTCATATGTTTCTCGTACGCAGAAATTTTCAGTAACTCTTATGGTCTTAAAAAGCTCTAGCATGGTGGGTTGGCGTTTTTCATCCTCCGATATCCGGTAGCTCCAACTTTTCTCTGCTCTCTTGTTTCCCTTCGTGTAGGAGCTTAATTAAAGCTTAACGATCCTGTTGTAGACCTTAGGGCACTCTCGATAGCCTACAAAAGACATAGTCTATGCGACGAAGTATCGGTTTGACTAACACAGCTATTCATAGAGCCTCTAGACCAGTTGGTCACCCTTTTCTGACATCGTGTTGGTGTCTTCTTGTATTGATGCACTTGTGCCTCCTCTTAAGTGTGTGTGCTTTTTATCCAAGTGTGTGCCGTACTCACCATCGGACAACGCCGCAGTGTCGGAAACGAAGCGAGCGGATATGAAGGAAAACAAAAAAAAAACGGAGACGACGACTACTATAGAAGTAGATCAGCTATGAACTAATGCAGATCCATCGAATTAAGAAGCTGTATCGGGTGCAATATAGTGTATGATAATAGATGAGCCCATGGATCAGTAGTTTAGAGGCTCTTTTACCAGAAATTAACCAGTTGTTTGCTGATTCCAGCAACCCGCAAACGAATGTGGTGGAAAAACAAGCTAAGCTTCGGCGAAATCATCGAATTATAGCCAAGTAGGCCGAGAGGCGCCAAGTAGCAACGGGATTCCTTTAAGCTCTCCGAGGCCTAGTTTGACCTTCCTTGGCCTACTCTTGTCTCATTAATCCTACCTCGAACATCAAGTTCAGCTTCTACTTGAACTGCACGTGAGATCAGTCGTTATTTACTATTAATCTAGGCTACTTTCCTCGTCAGATTCAGTCGCTGATTAGGCAATTGCCATCGGTCGACTCATGGATGTATCTCCTCCGTACAAACTGTCCTTTAGCCTACAGTGACCAAAATTGTGTCTGTCATTTTCCGTGTGTGTCCGGTATGATATTTACAAAATTACGAACTGACGACGAGCTGCACCGGCAGCAGGAAGTATATTGTGGTGAACAGAGCAAACACACAAGAAAATCGTGGCCCTTAAGAATGAACCATTCCCGTCGAACTGAGCCCGATAGATGGTTCTAATCGAAGTAAGAGGCACTTGCAGCAGTTTGCGATGTATTCAACGAACTGCGAGTCGAGTTGCGGTTTATGATCGCGTGTGCAGATGAAAGTTTTGTATCACAGGACAGCCCTTGTATTATGTACAGCAGAGAGGACTCGCCTATGTAATGCATAGTATGCCTTATTTTAATAGGGCATAGTTAAGGAACATGCCGAAAGTGAAATGTTTCGTACCATCTTTAAGATTTTTTGTTGTTTCTTTATTCTGTTTTTTGCGTGTAAACTTGACGTGACGAGAAAAGACTGGGATAAATGATGTTTCTAAGGACACGCGGGTGCATTCTAAAACTAATGAAAAATTTCCACGCCGACTGTCTCTGATAAACTTTACTGCCACCACAAACGGGTCAGATTCGGCATTGCATACATAATCATATAGTAACACAGAAGTTTAGCCGATTAGCATATAGTAGTCGCGGGATCGTTGTGTAGATAATTACCGATTGAAAAGTGGCGCCAATCACTTTGCAGTATGTGCGACTGACATTGTTATTAGCAGACGATACAGCACAAATGTGATCTTGTTTACCGACACATATAAGCATATGCCGCAGTGATTCGTCTTCCCTCTTCTCGATACTTCGTTCCTTCCTATGGAGACTATATCGAATACTCGGAGCGTCATCCCCAACTGCCTGATACGAATTGGCACGGTAGGTTTTCTCACGAACGCTTTGCCGGAGAACGCTGACTGATTATGCTACCTAACTCTATTTACTACAGCTTTTTTCTTATATCCACCCATACACTCAAAACTATTTTTTCCTGTTCCCAAAGCACGTTTTTTCAGTTTACTAAACCAGCATTCAAATTGGTTGGCTCATTTCGTTTGGCCATACAGTTCCAAGTAAAACATTCTTCTCAGCTGGATTACAGTTACAAGACGACCCAGTGACTAGTGGCAAATGAACAAAAGGCACCGAGGAAGACCCTCGGAGATATCAAAAGAAAATGGAAAAAATTGTGGAAATCAACGAGCGAACACACGTTCAAAGGTGGCATGCGTTGCCCGTCTGATATAACGGTGTGCAGCTTCATAGACAAAACTCGTAATATTTTTTAATGCCCAGCGGAATCAAAGAACGTGTCATATCTGCGGCAGCGTCCTGATGAATTTCACTTTTTACGATTAGTTTCACGTAGCCTTTAATTGTTTGTGACATCTGTTGTCCCTCTCTCGATCCTTCTCCCTTTATCTTCCGTAGCTTTAAGTAGAATCTAGGCACGAAACAAGGTTGAACTGGTTCCAGTAAAAAGATATCATGGAATCAAAGTGCTGTCCACTGTCTATTTGAAATAAAATGATCATAAAAAACGAGGCATAACAGATCAACAGTATAATATGTATGATTAGAGGCAAGCAACTCTCAAGTATTACTATGTTACTGATTTTGTCCTAATTTTCTAATACGATAGACGCAATATTGGTTCCTGCATAAATATCGATTACATGGGCCTCGATTCTACAATGTTGGCATATGTAGCTCCTATCGGTCCTTCATGCTCATGCCCGATATAGTATGATTAGCAGTAAACAATAAGTGTTATATATATATATATATATATATAATGTTAGTACCAGTGTGCATCTATGACAATAATTGCAGCTCGTTTTGCTATTTCTATTGGTCGAACAAATGCCTCAATCCAAAATAACACCGTCCGTATTACCCTGTTGTATAGAAAACTATTATAATTAGCGAACCATAAAGGTTGCTTACTGTACATACAGAAGAGCCAAGAGTCTATGCATTTAATATTCATTAATCGAGGCGCTTTTACCTTTTTGTTCGTAATTTACTAGGTTTGTCTTTTCCAGTGTACCTGCTCTGTCTCAAGGTATCAATCAGACATCGAAGGTACGTATCCTAGTGCTTTCTATCTGTTGAAGGTTGCCTCATTTGTGGGTTTTTCACGCTTTAATCGGGTTGGGTGGGCCTATCAACTTATGGGTGTTTCTGAATGTATCTATCTGTGTATATTAATCTTCGCTCGACAATTCGTTTTCGGCTACAAGTAGGAACCAATTACGCAGCCTGAATAGTCGTATTGTAAACTTTTGGTAGTGGAGAAACCAAAAGTCGAAGGGATACTCAGTACGTTATGATTATACGCAGCGTTGTTTGAAACGAGCTGGGTGAACAGCATTCCTTTGCTCTCTATCGAACGCGTCCCATGATTGAACGGCATTAAGACAATGACGGCAGCAACATGAGCACCGACCTGGCATTTTAAACAGACTCATCGAATAGCGTGCACACCTGACGGTTATCTGCAAAATAAAGCAAGGGGCGAGCCTGGTCTTGGTGGGAAGATAGAAGTCTTTGACAAATAATCCCGTCTCTTCTTGTCGTTTCGGTACTCATTCGCCGTTTGATTCTTCTCACCTAATCTTTTTTAACGATGGAACGCCGCTACCTTATCCGATCTTGTTTCCGGGCTACACCGGTTTTAACAGCGTAGTTGTACTTGACCTTACTGGCCAACGATGAAGGTCAACGAAAGATCACCACTGTCACGCTTTGCTTGGTGCGCTCCGTTACCCGTTCATCCTTCCGTGCGCCACTTGCCTGACCATGCTACCAATATCCTGCTCAGCTTAGCAAGAAAACGAGGCATAGCCCAAGAAAAGCAGTAGCTATAACAGCGACGGCGGGTATTGCAGGTCGGGTCGATTGTCAGTGGTCGGTCTTAGTGGCTGTTGTGGCTGCGAGCATCGACAAGCCCAGAAGATCGGCAGGCATCGGCCGCCATTTGAGACGAACTCTTCCATGTGCGAAACTATTGCCGACGGTTGGCATGTGGTACAGCATCGTAGAGATGGACGAGATTCGATCTAAGAGCAAAGGAAAGCTATTAAACGAGGAATACGGAAGACCATAACTTGGAACTATGTTCGCACCATGGCTGTTGTTATACTTCTAAAACCTGCTGGTCACTGTTCATAGCAGAAGTATTATGAAGGAGAGAGGTGTGCGACATTCCGACGCCTGTATATCATCACGTCAGCTGTCTGCATTTTCGTTCAATACTTGATTTGGGGCGTATACATTTTCAATTTTTTTTAACCATAATGTTATCAATAGGTTTGCTTTGCTACTGATACACGCGCCTTGCTTGCTTCGTATGCTTTGACTACTCTGACCCATTCTGTTTCCTCGTAAGAACGTCGCCATTTTCGCTTTTGCTGAATGACACAGTAACGTCTTCTACACATCTTCATCGAGCCAGCGCTTCTTCAATGGACTCTTCGTTCGTATCTTTTCACATTTTTTTGATAACGTTTTTACCATCGTTAAGCTAACCCGGTTTCCGTGCCCGTTATTAACGTAACAGGCTCGTGCCTGAATTTGTAGTAGTTTCATCGGTTCTGCTGTTATTTCTGTTCTACTCATACTACATATTCTAGCAGCTTGCCTTGTCGCCGCGTCTGTAGCCATACTATTTCCATCCGTTCCGAAAAAATCATAGAACGGGTTTTTTTTTTGCAGTTATCGCAGTTGTCTTTCGTTTTCTGACGTTTGACCTTCTCGCTGGTTCGATTAGCCCCGTGCATTTCAAAAGCTATTTCGGATTTCTTACTCTGATACAACCTAATCAAAATTGTATCACTCACTCGCATAACCTTCGGCTATTCAAACTCTATAGATGTTTTTATTGAAGACTGACATTTCTGTTTTATCCTAAATGCGAGGTATGCTATATGTCACAGAACTTATGAGTAAAACGGATTGCGCAATAGATGTCGATGCAAACTCTGATCTAATTAAAGTTTTTTCTACTTTATTTGTGAAAGGGCCAGCCTCGTTCTTTCTGACGAACGTGTTGTTACCCCGCGGGTTCAATATTAGATCTAATCTCATGAATAATTCCTATGTTCATGAAAAAGCACCGAGACCTTGCAATTTATTACAAGCCTTAAATGTTAGTTAAGCGTTTAGCAAGCATATGCATCTTGCTTTCAGAGCCAGCCATGAATTTCCTTTTCGATCCCTTCACGTCTGATGTGTTTGTATTGATACACATAAACACAAAAGTAAGCCTTTGAGACAATTTTGCTTTTTGACCCAGCACCGTATGGAACGAGTAGTGATATTTTTTTTGTTTCTCCTTTATTGCCGAAGCTGCTGAAAGACCAGATAGTGCCATCATAAAAAGGGAACGTGTAGTGGTAGTAGTAGACGCCTGTTGATAGCTATGAATCAGTCGAATCGTCGATGCTGCGAGGAAGCAACAACTGAGGGTATCAGAGTAAGGAGTGCAGGCCGTCCTGTCTTTTTTCAGAAGCTGGTTGTCGATACGCCAGCGGGAAAGGAACAATCTCTCAAGCAGTGTAGGCTACCAAGCCATTCTGACCAAAAGTCAACCTTTCACCTCTGTTCTTTACGAGCCTACGTCGGAGCACAAAGAACGCAGAGGATAGGTCGGGGGCGTTCGGCAAATGCAATTAAACTTCGATGTGATTTCGCTTTCATTGCTACCCAGGGATTCTTTCGCCATAATCTCACTGGCTCTAGCATCGATCTGAGTCAGTTTGCTCAGCGTCACGCGTATAGTCGACGAATTTTCTCGGCGAACGTATAGGTAGGACGTTTATCTCGTCTTCGTTTAACTCATCCTTGTTCAAAATAGCATTTTGCCGTTGTTATCCCGCTTCATTTCAGATAGGTATGTCACAAGTTTTGTTCGTCTCTTGTTTTTTTTTATCATCAACAACATCAGTATCAGCTGAAATCTTATTATCTATGTCATAGTACTGCTCTGGGATTACAGCTGTTTACCCGAAAAGCCGGATAGAGGCATGACGTATTGTTTTAATTTGGTCTGTAATTAGCGGTCGCCGAAATAGAGGTAACCGTACGTGTTATGTAAAAGCAGGTACTTCGGTGCCAGTCATGCGCTTGTATCAGAATGCTCGCTTTAGGAAAATCTTATCCTTTTCTTCTTCATTTCATCTTCTTTTCTGCTAGTTATACGCTACGCTAATTTCCACCCCCTAGATTCCATACGTTCGTTCCACACTAGTTCCACAACGAATGGCGTTCGTTTATCACGTAGCATACGATTCCACAATGAAACTATTCCGCTTGAATTATTTCTATCTGTCACATCCTTATTGGTTTAGTTGTATACTAACCGTATAATTGCACAGGTGCCTGGCCATATTGAAATCAGGGTTTTAGCAATAGAAACCCTATTTGTCGCATGATTTGCAGAATTTTAATGCGCTCTCGTTCATAGATAATTCGTATAGGTCGTGCAGTAGGTCGGAATTGCATATCCCAAATATATACGTATACGCTGGATAAGGCGATCAACGCATGCCGTGAAAGAAACAACCCATAGATCGATAGTGTAGGGCCAGCTATAATATTAATATCCTGTTCCTAAGCATGCCATGGCTTTTTCCCTTAGTGAGTATGCCCCCGTATCTGTCAGACAGTACGTAACTCAGCGTCCTCAACTCTCATGCCCTCGCTATTTTCGTCATTGAACTTTCGTCTTCCGCAAGCGTATATTGGCCCCCATCGATTTCTTAATCTACCTATTTTGCACCTGTAGCCTAAATATTAGGCAGGTTAGCTAATTTACACTCGCAAAAAAAACTAATGCTGCTACGAAAATTATGTTCCTGTGGCGGAATGTATCAACTAGCTGAGATTCCTGAATTCTGGAAACAAAAAGCCAACAGGTGGAAGCTTTACGAGCATGTTTGTTATTTGTACAACACAATATGTTTTATGTACCGCAAGAATATGTTAGCCATTACAGTTACGTTAGCCTTTATTAGGCTAGGCATATTAGCTATGATACCTACTTTATTGCTTTATTTCTTGGCTTTTACCGAGCTCAAGAACCTGCTGTAGCAACTCGGAATGTTTACGAGGCGAAATGCTGTTTTTGCTTCAATATTAAGCAGAGAAAAGGATAGGTAACTTCGATAAATGTGCCTAATCTCAAAGGTAAGCCAGATCTTCATCCGACAAAGAACGATTTTACGCTTGGTGAAACCTTTTACGCACCTCAAGGGTTCTATACACTGGGAGATATTTGAAAAATACAGCTGTTGGCAAAAATTCGTACATCGCTTAACTACGTTCAATAAATGAAATGATCTGATCAAAAAGTCCCAGAAATACAGAAAAGCAATTTTCCATAACAATGCCAAATTCATAGGGCAAAATTATTAAAGCTGCTGTATTTACTAGGCTTCATGAGGGTGGGTTAGTAACTTTTGTACTACTAACAAATAAAACTGGTAATACTACGTTTGTTAATAAAAAGATCGCTAAAAGCAGGTGAGTTTCTCAACAACAAGTCTGAAAATGTTTAGCCTAACAGAATAAACAAATCACAAGATAAGAAAGATTGTAGAGAGTAAATTCATTTAGTGCCAGAATCGGATCGGAATAGTGCTTCTTTAAATGGGAAATTGTTATGGCTTTTTGACCAACATGGTAAAAGATCAACTAAAGTCAGAAGGGGACAAGCAATGAGTATACATCTGAGAATTTTATCAAAAAATATCCAACACAGTAAGAATAATTGTTTTCTAATAGAGTCCAGACTGAGCTTGATACACCAGGCTTTGCTGTTCTTTGTAGAGGTTATACCATGAGATCAAGTACAGTGCACTTCTATGACAGACTGTATTTGGACACATTATGATTTATCCAATGCATGTGAAAACTAATATCAAAACCTGAATCTTTCAATAAACGGTCTGTTATTAGTTGAGCAGTTGGTCTTAAGCTCCATCCTGCTACTAAAAGCTGTCAAGTCCCTTGAGTGTACAACGCTAGACGGATCATGGCAACACAAAGAAAATCATTGTAAAACAGCCGCATGACATAGAAAG